AAAAAAAAAAAAAGAAGAAGAAGGAAAAGTGGTGGTAAGTTAATAATTGGCGCATTCCCCACTTTCACGTGAGTCGGACTTATAGTCCAGCTGCTCCGCATTCCTTACTCCTCACTCACATTCTAGACATGTCTCCGTTTCCCACCTCCAAACGCTGAAAAACCCATTCACACGACAATGCATCGTCTCACACTCACACTCACACTCACACTCCTCCTCTTGCTTCTCCCAAGGCTGGGCTCTTCGGCCCCCGCGGCGCTCCCCTCGGACGCGGTGTCGCTCTTGTCCTTCAAGCAGCAGGCCGACCAAGACAACAGACTCCTCTACGCGCTGAACGAGCGCTACGACTACTGCTCATGGCAGGGCGTGAAGTGCGCGCAGGGGAGAGTAGTCCGCTTCGTGGCCCAGTCCATGGGCCTGCGCGGCCCATTCCCCCCGGACACCCTCACCAAGCTGGACCAGCTCCGCGTCCTCAGCCTCCGCAACAACTCCCTCTTCGGGCCCATCCCTGACCTCTCCCCCCTCACCAACCTCAAGTCCCTCTTCCTCGACCGCAACGCCTTCTCCGGCGCCTTCCCCCCCTCCCTCCTCCTCCTCCACCGCCTCATCACCCTCTCCCTCTCCGCCAACAACCTCTCCGGCCCCCTCCCCCCGCAGCTCCCTCTCCTCCCCCGCCTCGTCGCCCTCCGCCTCGACTCCAACAACTTCTCCGGCACGCTCCCCTCCCTCAACCAAACCTCTCTAAAACTCCTCAACGTCTCCCACAACAACCTCACCGGCCCCATCCCCGTCACCTCCGCACTCGCCAAACTAAACCCCCAATCCTTCTCCCAAAACCCCGGCCTCTGCGGCGAGATTCTTCACAAACAATGCCCTCGCTCCCACTTCTTCGCCTCCACCGCGCCCTTGAGCCAGAGCGAACAGTCCCAGGGCATCGTCGTCGTTCCTTCTAATACCGCCAAACCCAAACACCACCCAAGAACCGGGTTGGTCCTCGGCCTCATTGTCGCGGTTGTTCTCGTCGCGGCTCTCTCTCTGACCGTTATTTCGCTGGTTAGGAGGAGGCGAGCGGTGGTGGTGGTTGTGGAACGAGCGGTTTCTGGCGAGGGTGAGAGCCAGAGGGAGGTGAAGGTGAGGAAGATGGAGGAGGCGCACAGGAGTGGGAGCTTGGTGTTCTGCTACGGGGAGGTGCAGCAGTATACGCTGGAGATGCTGATGAGGGCTTCGGCGGAGTTGTTGGGAAGGGGGAGTGTGGGGACCACTTACAAGGCGGTGATGGATTCGAGGCTCATTGTGACGGTGAAGAGGTTGGATGGAGGGAACAGTGAGGGGAGCGATGGGGAGCTGTTTGAGCGCCACATGGAGGTTGTGGGAAGGCTTCGCCACCCCAATTTGGTGCCTTTGAGAGCTTATTTTCAGGCTAAAGGAGAGAGGCTTGTTATATATGATTATCAACCCAATGGCAGCCTCTTCAACCTCGTTCACGGTATTCTTCTCTTTTTCATTTATTAACAAAATTTCTGAATTCAATACAGCCTCTTTTGGATAAAAGCTAGAAGCGTGTCTTGAAAGCTTTTCTATAAATAAAAAAATACCTAGTATTTTTTTTAGTTGAGAAGCGCTCAAAAGAATTTTTAAACTTGTATCCAGGTTCTTAAAAGGGTCCATAAAATTTGGGTTTTTTTTCTTTCATTTTTTTAAGTAGAATTTGTGAATTATAGAGTATTTGAATTAACTTTTTCCAAAAGTACTCGCAAAAGAAGAAGAAGAAAAAATTCAATTACCTTCTATGTGTAGAATTTTTTTTGGGGAGGGGGAGGGGGGAGGTGAAACTTATTTGGAGAGGAACTTATTTCTTTTATGGAGCAGTTTCTCTTGTTCGATTTGATTTTTTGTGCGTTTTGCATTCAAATTAAGGTTTTTTAATTGTGGTTACGATCTCATCGGGGTTTTAATATTATGGAAAATTACGAATACATGGGGTCGATTGGACTGTAATTGCGATCATGATGCAGTCTCAAAAGTCAAAAACTTTGTGGTTGAAATCATGGTCACGATCAAGTTGAAAACAATGATGCAAACTGTTTTTTGAGAACATCGACTCCAATGTCAAATTGAGTTTTGGGTTTGGAGTTGATGAACGTTTGAATAAGACTGAAGATAAATGTTGTGGGGCATGGTGCTTCGAATAGAGTTTGAAATGGATGGTGTGTTGTTCTACTATTGGTTGTTGTTTGAGTGTCAGTGTGTGATGTATATGTGGAATGGTGTGATGTGTCAGATTGGTCACTATATTGTGTGTTGCCTATTTATTGTTTGTTTGTTTGTTTGTTTTCCTTACCGGCTTTCGGCGTAGGGTGGTATCCAATGTCGGCAAACACAGGGTCGGGTTGTTTTACGTACCCTGTTTGGACTAATTTGGATGGGTTGTGTGATATGTTTGGACTATTTTTCATGCCGGGTTGATTATGGTGCTTCATTCGGTTGATCCTGAGTTGATGCAAATGCAATTTTATTTAAAACTTTCTATTTTTATTGTTATTCTTTTTCAAAGGTCCTGAACTTATTGCTGGGGGGGGGGGGGCATGGGGGACCAATCAGTTTCAGTCTTGCCCGATTGATGGTTGATAATTATTTCTTAACTAAGGTAGGTGCTGCATGCGCAGGTTCAAGATCAGCTAGGGCCAAACCCTTGCATTGGACATCATGCTTGAAAATAGCCGAAGATGTGGCACATGGACTTGCTTATATCCATCAAGTTTCGTCTTTAATTCACGGCAACCTAAAATCCTCTAACGTCCTTCTCGGAGTGGACTTTGAAGCTTGTATTACGGACTACTGTTTGGCCTTCTTTGCAGATCCTTCATTCCCTGAAGATCCTGATTCTGCAGCATATAAAGCACCAGAGGCTCGTAAGTCTGGCCGCAGGGCCACTTCCAAGTCTGATGTGTATTCTTTTGGGGTGCTTCTGCTGGAGCTTTTGACGGGTAAACGTCCCTCCCAACACCCTTTTCTTGCACCAACGGATCTGCAAGATTGGGTTAGAGCAATGAGGGATGACGATGTTAGTGAAGATAACCGGCTAGAGATGCTGACGGAGGTTGCCAGTATTTGCAGTGCAACCTCGCCGGAGCAGAGGCCAGCAATGTGGCAAGTTCTTAAGATGATACAGGAAATAAAGGACAGTGTTACAATGAAGGATGCTGCACTTTCCGGACTCTCATAGTTTGTGAATCATGTAAATCTGACTTGGTTGCTTGTATGCGAGAAAATAATCACACCAAATAGCACCGTCAAGTCCTCTTGTTGAAAATGAAAGAAAATTGGTCGTGGAGGAACATGAAGGAGTGATTTGCTGGTCAGGTTGAAAGGTTAAGCAATCATTTTTGCGGGAATCTCACAAATTATACAGTAAATCATGCAGAACCATCTGCTTCTGTGGCTGGTTAGTGCAGTTTTTTATTGGTCGATAGACAATTAGACATAGTAATAATAGAATTTATATGAATGTATTTATTTGAGCTTTATTCAAATTTTCTACGTTTTTGTCTCTGACAAGAAAGGGACGTAAAGGTTGATTGCCTGATTGGGGTGAAGACTTTGGCCGGCGAAATGTACACATAGTCTTCTCAGTTCCTTTCCTTCGTTTTGGTCAATATCATTTCTGGAAAGCTAGGTCTTCTGATTTCTGACGCTGCATGTAAAAGAAGAAAACTAGGTCTTCTGTCTAGGCCTACATGTATAAAGGGTGGAGGAGTAAAGCTCATTTAACAAATCCCAGCCCTCTAGGCCTGGCTGTTAACATGACTTCTTTTCCAACTTATCAATTTTAATAAACTGAACTCAACTTATAAAATTTTTTTAGAATTTAAAAGAAGTTTGTTTGAAGTGAATTAAATTGTACATCAGTTCTGGTGAACTGAACTCAGCTTCTAAAAATATTATAGAATTTAAAAGAAGTTTGCTTGAACCGAATCAAATTGTACACTAGTTCAGGTGAATTGATTGAACTGAGTTAATTTTTTTATTGAATTGAATTAGACTAAAAATTTGAATTAAATTTAAATTATACTGAACTGTTTATACTTTGTATCGAACTGTTTCCATCCATTCCTCTATTAAGATAGCACAAATTTGTCAGTTTTATTTTATTTATCTATTTATTTAAATTTTTTAAAGGAAAATAAAGAAAAAATTTGTGTCAAATAGAATTGTTAGGCTTAAAGTCTAAAAGTTAGTGCTCTAACATGGTTCGATTAGTCTGTTAGGTTTAACTAAATTTGCACAAATTTTTTTTGCCTCACTTTTTCTCAAAGCCTGAATTGTTGAGTTATCATACTAATCCACTAAGATGGACAATTTGAAGACAAATTTAATTTTTACTTTTTTCATAAAAATACTTCAGTTTTTGTAATTCAATTTAGTTTTTAAATACTTCAGTTTAGTTTAGTGTTTTTTTTTTTAAACAGTTCATTTCGATTTTTTTTACAAATAATTTGAATTTTTATAGTGTAATTTAATTCAATTTATCACCCGTCAGTTCAATTTTTACCCCTACTCTTTTGTGTCAGACAGTCCTGTCTAGTGTAAAGGACTTTGAATTTATTTCGAATTCAAAACTAACCTGACATTATGTTTCCTCTGTTAGTTGGCTGTTTAAAGTATATTAAAATATACTTTATGTACTAAAATATATACTCTTTCCGTTTTTTATTCATGAGTTTTGTCAAAATTTGTCATTTTTTTTCATTGTTATTTTATTAAAATTAATGACTTATTTATTTTTTCTTCTCATTTTTACTCTTGATAATTAATATATGTTTATTGAACAATGTGTCTATTTATTTCTAATGTCTACATATTTTTTCTCCAACCACCTATGTGAAGTTAATGGTTAATATTGCATTTAAAAGGGTAATATGTTTCCAACGAAATACAATAAAAAAATAGAGGATAGAATAGGAAAGTAAGTAATAAATATTTTTGAAAACTAAAATATCAATCATTTCCTTAAGTCCCGTGCAAAACCTTAAACAACTATGAATAAAAAACGGAGGGAGTAAAAAATAATAATCTTATGCACAATAAATTTTATTTTATTGAATGATATATTTAAAATATATTTTTTCATTTAATTGAGATTTCACTTCTAACGATTAACTTTTATTTTTGACAGAAATTTTAATGAACGGTGTAGAAATAAAAAAAAATTATTTTAATAAAAATTAATAAAATTAAATTATGTTAACTATTTTAATTAATGTCTTAATTAGTTAAATTTATTTATAATTGAGTTCGAAACGAGTAATGAAATACTTTTATTCTTTAATCACTTTTTAGTTGAGATTTGTAATTTTAAATTATAACAATATTTTTAAATATATATATATTATTTTAAATTTATAATAAATTTAAACTGCGATATATTTAGATAATTTCAAGGTTAAATTACTCTTTTTAATTTTTCATTTAATTGGTTTAATTAATTTATTTTATTATTAAAAAGTTTAATTTGATTTATTATTTTTCAAAAGCAATACAATTTTATCCTTTTTTTCTTTTCTAATTTAGGCTAATAATATCAATTTCTTGTGATACAATAAAAAAAATGATAGATGTCATTATGTACAGGAAAGTATTCTTATGCCTCATAATAAGTGTCTATGTTAGTTATTTTACATAGATTAAGAACAATTATTAATTAAATAAAAATAATAATAATGATTTTGCAAAATTAGTGTTATGTTTAATTTTTTTTTGTTAGAAACAATGCAACATAACATGAACTTTATGCATAATATTATTAGGGGTATAAATATAAAATAATAAATTAATACTTGTTGATTTTTAATATTTTTAGTCTTTATCGTTATTTTTTTTAAAATTTTATTTGTTTTATGTTAATGTGATACCTTCAATTTTGTGAGGGTAAAAAAATGGTGTTTCAATAATGGACATCATAGGTGAGGATATCAAAGAAATACGAAGTGTCGATAAATATTATTTAGAGCAATTCTAGCAAGATAATACATCTTTTTAAGTAGACATTTTTATTCTCTATACTTATTTTTCAAAATCATTTTTAATCCTTATAGTATAATATATATCTTTTTAATATTTATACTTACAATTTTCAAATCTTTTTAGTCCCTATCGTTATAAAGTTGTTTTATATAGGCATACATGCACATTTGCAAATCATATATATATATATATATATATATATATATATATAAGATAACAAATTTATATTATTAAACGTCTCTAAATTTTGCTACATGTAAAGTTTTGGGTGAATTAAGTCTTTTTTGTAATACTTGACTTTTAGTTTTTTTTTATAATTTTTTAATTTAAAAAATGTTTGGAATCCTAATTGAAATTATAATAAAAATAAAATTATTCCAGCTAATTTTTATGATGCTAGCCTACTTAAAGTTAGAAAGTGAGACTATGGTACATGAGATACCCTAAAGTATTTCCTGAGGATATGATTAGCCTACCACCTGAACGTAAGATAGAGTTTGCTATAGATGTTGTACTAGGAACTGGACCAATCTTAGTAACACCTTATAGAATTACTCTCTTAGAGTTGTCTAAACTTAAGAAATAGTTGGAGTTGTTAGACAAATAATTTGAGGCCTAATGTATCACATTAGGGAGCACCCATTCTTTTAGTGAAGAAAAAAGGATGAGGGTACGAGGTTATGTACTTGATTATCGTTAATTGAATAAGGTAACCATTAAGAGTAAATGTTCCTTACTTAGGATAGATGACCTTATGGATCAGTTGGTTGGAGCATGCATTTTTAGTAAGATAGATCTTAGGTCAAGTTACCATCAAATTTGTGTTAAGTAAAAGGATACACCAAAAGTTTTCTATAGGACCTGCTACGATCACTATGAGTACCTAGTTATGTCGTTTGGTGTGACTAATGCACTTTCAATGTTCATGGACTACCTGAATAAAATCTTCCACCCTTATCTAGATAGATTTGTAGTTGTTTTCATAAATGGTATCTTGATATACTTTAAGATGGTAGAGGAACATTTGAGGATAGTATTGCAAACGCTTAAGAAAAGACAGTTTTATGCTAAATTATCTAAGTGCATGTTTGGCTCGAGGAGGTTAGTTTTTTGAGACACGTCATATTTAGTAGGGGTATAATAGTAGATCCTTCCAAGGTAGAAGTAGTTCTTGAGTGGTAAACCCCAAGCTCTATAAGTGAGATTAGAATTTTTTTGGGTTTGACAGGATATTACTAGAAATTTATAGAGGGTTTTTCTAAATTAGCACTACCTTTGACCAAATTGATTGGGAAAGGACAAGTCTCCTTTGGGATAGCAAGTGTAAGAGTAGCTTCCAAAGCCTTAAAGAGAAGTTGACTAGTGCACATATTTTAGTGTTACCTGACACTAGTAGACCCTTTGTAGTGTATTAAGATGCATCCAAGTTGGGTTTAGGGGGATTGTTAATGCAAGATGGGAAGGTAGTAGCTTATGCTTCTAAACAATTGAAAACCCATAGGAGGAACTATCCTACACATGACCTTGAGTCAATAGTTGTAGTTTTTGTTTTAAAGCTTTGGAGACACTATCTTTATTGTTTTAGATTTGAAGTGTTTAGTGACCGCAAAAGCCTCAAGTATTTATTTGATAAAAAATAACTCAATATGAGACAAAGAAGGTGGCTAGAATTCCTTCAGGATTATGATTTTTAGTTCAATTATCATTAGGATAAAGTCAATGTGGTGGCTGATGCATTGAGTAGGAAATCCTTGATTGTATCAACTTTAATGATTAAGTAGATGGATTTGATTGCAGAGTTTAGAGACTTTAGCCTAGCATGTGAGATTATCCCTAGTAGTGTGAAACTTATCATGATGGTAGTGACTTGTGACCTATTAGTTGAGATTAGGGAGAGTCAAAAGGTAAATCCATTCTTAGTAGCTAGAGTAGAAGCTATAAGACAAGGAAACTGTAACAGCCCAAATTTTTATTGGGCCGTGGGCCCAATTCGTTGCTTGGAACGGGCCGTTTCGAAAGTGAAACGGGCCGTTCCGGAATAAAGAATTTGCCTAAAAAACGTAGTTGAGAACGGGCCGTTCCGGTTGGAGAACGGGCCGTTCTGGTTTGGAGAACGGGCTGTTCTGAAAGTAGAACGGGCCGTTCTGCTGGGTTTTGGAACGGGATGTTCCGATTTTGGAACGGGCCGTTCCAGTTGAGATTTTTGCTTGGTTCTGGAGGGTCCAGAACGGCCGTTCCACTTTTGGAACGGGTCGCTCCGGATTAGCTGAGGCGGATTCCTATAAATAGGAGGCCTTACCTCTCATTTTCTCACATGCTGATTTGGACAAGAGAAGGTCATTAACAGGATATGCTTACACTCTTGGTAGCTGTTTGGTGAGCTGGAAGGCAACACTTCAACCTTCAGTTGCACTATCAACTACAGAAGCTGAATATATGGCACTCACTGAAGCTGCTAAAGAAGGGATCTGGTTAAGAGGACTTATAAGTGATCTTGGAATCAATCAAAAGCATGTTGACATTTACTGTGATAGCCTCAGTGCTATATGCTTAACCAAGGATCAAGTTCATCATGATAGAACCAAGCATATAGATGTTAGATATCACTTCATTCGATCTGAAAGGAGAATTAAGGTTCACAAGATCAGCACCTTACACAATCCTGCTGATATGTTCACAAAGCCAGTCCCAAAGCGAAAGTTTGACCATTGCTTGGATTTGCTGAATGTTGACTGTTGGAGATAGTTCCATATGTTTGGAGGATGCAGATTTTGTTTTTGTCTGTATGTGGATTCTAATTCAAGGTGGTGAATTGTTGGTATTTTGACTTAGATCCACAATGCATATGCTTCGGCTGACCCATGTTATAAAAGGCCACGAAGCCTTCTTTCATTGGTACTGCTGGATTGTATACTTCATTAAGAAATATAATTCTGTTTCTGCTCCTCCCGTGGACGTAGCCCAATTCCCTGGGTGAACCACGTAAACCATTGTATTCTTCCCTCTTCCTTTCGCATTTTATTTCTCTGTCACGGTGTATATTACTTTCTGTGTTTGTTTGTCCTCTTTCAAATTTACAACAAACTGGTATCAAGAGCTCAAGTTGCGATCAAGGGAATTCAAGATTCTCGTCTGAATATAAAGATCAAACTCTGTTAGTCTTGTTTTTCTGGTAGCTTGTACTACGAACTTGGGATCA